GTACTTTTTATGCAAAACCGCTGATCAACTCAATTTATTTGAGTTGTCTTAACTTAGAAAAACTAAGTAAGCTGGAAATTTTGCTTCTCAGTGTGGAAGGTAGTGGTGTGCGGATCGATCCAAATATCGATAGTATCGATCCCAAGTCGGGATCGGTATCGGATTGATACTAGCCTGGTTAGATCAATTCTTTACTCTGAGTTCTGCTTGTTAGCTATGCTGTGCTTTCGGCAAAAACGAAACAGCCAAGTCACTGGAGTCGCAGCTTCTGTGTCAGCGGAGAGCAGGCACACTTTGCCCCCCCCTCCTCCTTCGTCTCCTCCGTCTCCTCCGTCTCCTCAGTTTCGGTGATGCGCTGACACGTCACGTGACTTAGACACTTTGGGGTTATTAAGTTGTTTACATATTAATTATATTTTTACCAATTGTTTTGTTGTTGAGAATTTTAATTGTAATTTTTTTTTATTATAGTTTATCAACAGTATTTGTTTTAATGTGTTTACTGGTTTGCGTGCACTTAAGATTTAAAAAAAAAAAAAAAAAAAAAGATTGCAGGACCATGCAGCCTGCATGCCGAAGCGGACAGCATGCTGCCCTCGGGCAGGACCCCTGCGCACCTCGACCTTGACCGAGCCACGCGCTGTCCACCCTTACAGTGATCACCCGGTTGCTGTAACAGTAGCCTACATTCAAAGGCTGCAGCCCTCCTGCTGCCAGCTGTACACATCAACACCAAAAACAACAACAGCACAAGCAGCGCACAGGTTTTAAGCCGGTGAGGCATGATTGTAGATGCAGTGAAGGTGAGTCCAGTGGTGGTCCTAGCCTGTTTGGCGCCCTGGGCGAACACTCCCTCTGCCGCTGGGCTCATGTTACTTGAAAATGAACACCACAGCCTTAAAAACCTTATATAAAAATATGTTTGTGAAATTTTCTGTTGATTGTTTGAAATTTAAAAAAGTGAGATAAGAGCCCAGGCAAAATTTTTCGGGAGGTGCAGCTGTTAGGGGTGGGGTTTGGGGGGTATTTTCAATCCATAGCCATGACTAACTAACTATATATATCATGTTTAACCTGAATGGCAAAAGACCACAGGGGGGTGAAAACGATATGCCAGGAGTTACCTGTGTATGGGCTCAAAATGTGGTCATAAATATTTTGTACTTGTAAATCAGTTTTGTATGTGTAAAAATAATTTGTGTGTGTGTAAAAATTATTTGTGTGTGCATAAAAAAGATTTGTATCTGTAAAAAGAATTTGTGTGTGCGTAAAAAAGATTTGTGTGTGGACTTAGCCAAAAAAAACCCTGCAAGTTACAAGTACAAATTTTGACCCTATTTTTCTTCCTTTCATCTGATTGGTCAATGTCATGTCAATCACAAATGTAACAATCCAATCAGAGAACAGATGGGTTTGGCTGACGGAGGGGCACTTTTTTGAAAAATTCGTACTTTTAAAGATGGCCGCCTGCAGGTTCAAGCTCATTGCATCTCCAACCCACATCCACTGCCTCTGTACTTAAGGGAAGTTAAAGACTTTCTTCTGCACTTACATTTGGATCACCTCGATCCATGACAGTCATTCAGGCAGTAATGCCCTGACTGGAAACTAGCCATCCTTAAAATAATACAACATTCCAGCTCCTGTGTTGGAATGAAAAACAAATGTGGTGTTTAAATTAGAGACTGCATTTGTGACAGAACAATAAATATATTTTATTTTCATTATATAAGTAAGTACAAAACACACTTGTGGTAGGCCTAAACTTATTTTCAGAATAATTAAATCGGAGACTTTGTTTCATTGTGAGATTATAACAGTGGCAATGTAATTGTTTGTTGTTCAAAAGAACAGTGTCCAGTATGTTGGCTGTTAAACTTTTTTGCATTTGAAAATAAAAGTTGGGTAGGTAGGTAAATAATTAGTATTGTACTGTCAGAAATATCAAGTTATTCTTTTTTTTTTTT